AAAAGGCCAAAAAAATTACTTTAAAGAAAAGTCTACATCAGTTTAAGTGTACAGTATATTTAGAATATTTTCATCACTTTACCTTGCCAGACAGCCCTTTATGTGGGCAACTGAGCCCATTTTATCTATCAGTCTGTCCAGGGAGTTGCAATGTTGCGATTGCAACCAATAACGCAAATTCAACCAATCCCTGTGAATCCTGCAGAATTTTGTCCAGTCTTTTCCTCTAATTGTTTGTAATTTCACCAATCATATTAGACCCCCCTGTGCAAAACACTGAGCCACACATCATCAAATAGAATTTTTTTTCTTTCTGCAATAAGTTGCCTTAGATTTTGTAATGAATTATAAAAGGGTTTCACTTTCTCATGCATTTTCATGCTCAAAACAATATCCATGAAATTGGGCATTTTAGGCTGCAACAATCCCCAAAAAAAGCCTGGAGGAACTGATCTGTGCTGTCTTCACAACCACCAGACACCTTTGACAATGAAACTCAGTTTTGTTTGTACAGCACCGAGTCATAACAATTGTTTCTCAGGACACTTTTCAGATAATTAGATATAACTGGGTATCATCTGCATAACAATGAACATTAATGGAGTGATTCTTAATTATGTTGCCTGGAGGAAGCATATATGAGGAGCATCGAACTGGTCCAAGTACAAAACCTTATGAAATTCCATGACTAAGTAATTTTACCCTGTAGAACACACAAGTTTGTGATCTACCGCTGCCTCAATCCACAGCAAATAACGTCAGTTCAGATCCAAATCAACACCCTAAAACACAAAGACACAGTAACACGATCAAGGCAGGAGTCTGGTGGCTTTGAAGAGATATAACAACTTCAGTTCCCCATTACATCGGGCAAGTATCGTTTAAACTAGCACAGCACAACTTTCTTCCATCTCATCCATTCTGCTTTTTGCCATCTGAGTAATCACACGTCATCCGAATCACAATTGCCAACAAGCTATTTTGTGTGCCTAAGAGTTTTTTAGGGGTTTTCTGCCATAATATTTAAAGAGGTATCGCGTATTGTTGTTTTATACTAGTGTAGAAGTTTAAAACTCTACTATCATGACAACCTTACTTAGTAGGGCTGGGTATTATTTTAAATTTAGACAAGCAGAGTTGCAGCGATGCCATCCGGTTCGCACTCTGGAACTTTTCCCTGCAACATCATAAAACTGTTTCATCTCATTGGAAATCTTTGGTCTAAACTGGGCTTTATGAAAGGTTGTTTATTGTCATCTTAAAGGCGGAAATGTGTGCACCTTCTCTTGTTGGTAACTAGAAAGTTGACCTTTGACCCTGTGATTTAAAATCTGATGGTTCTGTGGAGCATTAACTGTCTTCCTGACTGTCAGTCCTGGAACGTGTAATTAATAAATGTGATTCTTCAAAAGAGGCGGTACTCCCCTTAAAAAGTCATGTAAAACCCGGACTGGCAGCCGTCTTACTGACCTGTCTGAATGTATTTCCTTCAAAGAGCAACAGTTCCTGCTTCATGTGTTGTTGTTGTTGTTTTTGTTTTTGAGCTCAGGTCAGTTTGTGATGTTAGACCTCTTTTTTTTTTTTGACTTCACTTTTTGACTATTTTGACGTTTTGTGTCTCAATGTCTGGATTAAAGTCTGTCGTTGACATCAGCTCTCTGTCTTTGGCCTCGTTCATGGTTAACGTGTGATCCGTTCGGTCACAGAAATCATTTATCAGCTAATAAGCAGATATTATGGTTTTGTATTTTTAATTAGTTTTTAATTTTTGTTCGCAGTTCAGTTTAGTTTCAGTTTCCAGAGTGGGTCTGCTTCTTTCAGTTCAGATTTTATTCTTAAAACTGTGTACTTTATATATACTGTATATTAATGTACTGTATATATATGATTTATACTTATTATCCCACAATATACTGATGTAAAAATATAAATAATAATAAATTATAATAAGTTGTTCAGTACTACGGTGGACTGTAGTTCTGCATGTAGTTTGTCCAGGCGGTGTTATCGTAGTCCAGCATAGGGTTAGCTGTGGTACAATCAATGTCAAACTGTGTCTCTGTTTGTTTACTTACAAATGTATTAAAACATGTAAAACTAGAATGTAATGAGCATTACGTAGGCTGCATCACTGTAGGTTGTGATTTTTATGAAGTGTTATGATAATAGGCTAAATGTTAGCTAGCTAGCATACATTCTGTGTATTTATAGAAAACAGACCATCTGAGCATAATGTGAACAAATAAATGAAAAGTTAATCCAATGTGTTATTGAAGTTTTAAGTATTTTAGAACAGCAGGAAATGAGTTTTCAACATTTAATAATTATTTTAATAATTTAATGACCACATGGTGTTTCCTGAAGAGTCACCTATACCACAGTATCTGTACAACAATGACAGGAAGCCAATGTTTAGGTATTTTCAGGTAATAATCATCATCAAATGTCCTCTGTTGTTGTTGTTTTGATGTGAGAGACCCCCTAGTGGGTAGTAGTGAAATGACATATTGTAGGTTCAAGTAAGGGATAAAACCCCACAAGGTGTTCATGCTCAGGAATTAATGGACAACCAAGTAAAGACAATATTTTATTATGTTGATGAATAATTGTACATTCAGCATTAATGTTAATTCATATTCATAACATAACAGATGAAGACTTTAATTCATTCATTCAATGATTTCAGTCATTTTGTGAAATAATTTTACACATGAAAAGGTCGACAGTAGAAACAAAAAGCAGATTTTCAAACTAAATAACAACAAAGAATAAAATAAAAAGACTAAGTAAAAGAGAAATAACCATATGTGTGGAGCAGGTTCAGTTTAACAGGTTCAATTCAGAGACTTTTCTCTTTAAGAAATAAACATGATGAATATAATCATCC